TTTTTCTACTGTTGTGGATAACGTTTGATTCTTCCTGAAGGCGCAGTCACTGCTATTACTCCTTTTGTTCTGCTGCCTGTTCTTCTGCCGCCACTAAACACTCCTTTAATCTAAACATTTAAATCGAACTACAGGAGTCCCAAGCTCGTAAAAGGCTTCTGAACAGAAGGGGTTCAAGATCGTAACTATGTACAAAAAATTCATTTATACCTTTTCACTGTCATCTGTAACGCTAAAATGTTTAGACATGCTGTTCTTTTAAGTTCGAGATGTTCATAAACGGCACTGATCTGCTCGACTAGTAGTTTTAAAACAACTTTAATGTCATTTTCCTAGTGTGTATCGTTTCCAAAAACTGAATTTTTTGGGAATGCTGACTGTTGATTGTTCGTAATAATTAAAATTTTATTGCTTTTTTTGGTTCCCGCTTCCTAGTGATAGTTAATTCCATTCTGAAAAAATAGAAATATATGCTGTTCTTTTGTTGTTGTTGGGTGATACAACAAAACCCGTGGTAAAATTTCAAAGAAATAATTTTTTTATCCAGAAAAAAGTACCTTTTATACTTAGTAGCAGAAAAAAGGTAAAAAAATCCAACTCTTTATTGACAAACGCACCGTGTACACTCAGCAACTGTAAACGTAGAAATTTTACTATCAGTAAAAAGAGTGATACAGCATCAAATGACAAAAAGTTTAGTAGAGTTAGCGAAACACAGAAACAACTGATTCTTTTAAAGTCACAACGCTGTGCATTTCACCGCTCAATAAGCATTAACTATTCAAGATATCTTAATACGCTGTCCTCAATTTCCACTCTGCTTCTGCAAACAGTGTGCTAAGTCGTGTTTTTCTCATGCAGCACGTACGGTCTCAGAAGTGCCACCTCGGCATTTAACTTTCTTTCATATGAACTGAAATTGTCCACCAGTTTTCCGGTAATGGCATTTGCACCTGAATATTCATTAGTTATTAAACAATTTATCAGGTTTATAAACGAGTAACAAAAGAGGACGAAGAAACTACTTGGATGTAAAGAAACGGTAATCGAGATCTACTAAGACCTTAGACTTCAGTCTTCCATTGCCTTTTTCTGTAATCAGTTATCACAGTGGACAGCAAACCATTAATTCAGTTTTTCAGATTAACGGTTGGGAAATGTGTTCATTCATCACAAGTTACGGGGAAACCACACAAGTCACAGCTAACAAGAACCGAGTACCTTTTTTTAGCTGAAGTGGTTATTAATAAGATGGCGCTCTATAAAGCGATACAATGAATCTCACAACTTGATATTTATTCCGTGTCAGAACTCTGTTAAATCCGATTGAACAAAAACAGTATGAATGGCAGATCTCAAGCACTTTGATGCGAAATACGTAAAAGCTTACTGTACATTCGAGATATTAAAATGAGATATTTGACGTTACGGAAGCGATAACTGCTTGTAACCAAAAGTGCCAACAGTCGACATCGAATAAAGCCGCTTTTTTTTTCGATTTGAAAGTGCATTGAACATTTTAAGAAACGCCAGGCCATCGTTCTTATATTTCGGAAGTTATCATTTCTAACCCATAAAAATAACCCTTATCAAAAATATTTTTTGGGATTCTGCCTACCAATGCCACAAAACCTGCCTACGTTTGACCAGAAATTTTTGTCAAAGTGTCTTATCCTTGAAAAACATTAGCTTCTGTAATTCTTATGAAATATTGATTTTAAGCGTAGCAGTACGTAGACTTTAGAGAATTATAAGCAGCAGTAAGATCTTCGACAAAGAAATATGGAAGCACTATTGACCAATGAGGACGACTACATATTCTACTAATTAGCACTTATAACCGAACAAAATATACCACACGTATTGAATAGATTAGCCATCTCTGATATTTACTCAAATATAATCCAACTTCCAATGTGATCCACAGTTTCCCCTATCTAGTTTAATGTGCAAAGAAGTATGTTATAAACAGAATCATCTTGCAGGAACCTCAAGAAATATAAAAATTTAAGTTTAGGATACAAACGAACGAGCTGCTCACCTGTAAGTAAGCCTTACCAGAAACTCTAAAATAAGTTTAAGAAACGTGCCCAAGTCGAAAAAGTAACAAAGTAGAACTAGCGTTATTGCGTACGTTTACCGTAAAACACTTCGCAAAAGATAAGCAAAGTTGCTCCAGTTCGCTCAGTAGTATACATGGAAGAGGGAAATAGACTACATTTTAGCATAATAAATATACAGATCAAAATGATACCCGTAAAATCAAGAAAGAATTGATAAACAACAGAATTACTGAATAGCCAATTTGGATATTTCCTCTGCAAAAACAGAAGGAAAAATGTAACCCAGCCTGTCGATATTTCTCTGAATAACAACCCGACACATGTCTTTGAAACGCGAACAGTCCACCTTAAGAAAGAATGCTTAAATAGTCTAACTTGGAAGAATTGCCAGAAGAGACAAGAAAATAGAGCACACTTAAAATATTGTTTCTAAAATATACACCGGTACAACGCTACTACTCCGCAAAGACTTCACCTGAAGTGGCTCTTTCGCTCCATTTGTTGCTCTGTCAAACAGACTATTAAGTATGGCAACCGGATGAGAGTTATCTTCATTTAGCAAAACCTAAAAGATTTCTTGAAAAAAATAGGTGTGAGGAACAAGTGAACAGAAAAAATAGCTGAAAACATGTTATCCTTGTATGCCAAATTCAATTAAGCCCTCTTCATAGGGTAGAGAAACAAAGTTAATTTTAGCAGTATACGCTGCGAAAAAAAAGAATTTAAGATAACTTTCAAACAATGCGCAAATGGCTAAAATAAACATCAAAAAATTAAGAAATTACTGTTTATTTCAATAATTGAGATAAAATAAATCAGAAGAGTCAAATAGAGATGACTTGATTATGACTTACAGCAAAATATTTCCAAACTTCTAATAATATAACAAAGCCTTCTCGGTGTTTCACTTCGACAACTACGTCGAATACTTTCGCTAAACTTGCAGGCAGCATTTTACCCTAGAAAGCAACAGTCAGTAATACCCCCAAACAATAAGAAATGTTTTGAATTTTTGAAAGAAATACAGAATTAAAAGTTAAATCCTCCTGTCGTAACTCACTTTGAATCCCAATGTGCACCACTTGTGCAGAAGATGTAATATTTCTTTAGATGGTTTCGCTTTTTGATCGGAATTATTTTCAAACTGGATAAGTACAGATGCGAATATGGCCTAAATTGGCTGTTTTAGTGAGCAGTGTAACTGCGCACAAAGCCCAAAGTACTGTCAAGCAACCAAAGAGCAATTGTAATTTAGAAATCGCGCTTGCGAAAAAAGCAATTCTAACGATGCTTTAGAATGTGGCTTTTAGTTTTGCAATGTAACAAAAAAGAGAATAAAATTGCTACCTTCATTATTGGGAAACAGAACCATAAGCACGGATGAACATCTGCTAGTGCAAACATAATATCCCATACCACTGGAATTTCAGCCACTCGTTTGGCAACCGCAATATATCTGAACATTCCTCTAATTAAAAAAAAAAACAAACCTGAAATTTTATTTGCCAATTCTCAAACCCAAGAAATAAGAGGCATAGAAAGGCTAACCGTGGCGTCGACTCACGTTCAAACTCCCAGTCGTCCCAGACAAAGCCATTTGTTAGCGCGTCTTTGCATATGCGGTCCGATAAAGTTAAAGCCTCAAACAGATTAGCAGTGAAATAAATGCCAAAAATTACAAGAACCCTCACGAATTGATGGAACAACAATTAACCGGCATAGCTAACAAGGATTAACTAAAAAGATGAATAACGCTAGCTGCGCGGCTTTACTTGGCCGAATTAAATGGTAGCAAACCGAACTATATTTTTAAAAAAATGAATTCAAACAGAAGATTAAAAATTGAAAACCATAAACTGAACTTAAATTAAAACTGCCTCTATAGTTCATGCCCAAAAACT